GCCCCCTTATGAGGAGGATATTCTTCCTCTGGATATTGGAAGTTTCCCTTCCATTTATGCCTTCTTCAGAATTTTTCCTCTAGACCCTTCTGCCAAGACAGATAATGATACCAATCCATCAGTGGCTTCCCCTACTCTTCTTTGAACTGTATAAACTTTACCCTTTCTCTTACAGTTAGATTTGAGAATATTATTACAGTTGTATTTTTTTGTAGAAAAATTGATTTGGTGTGATTGATTTAAAGTATAATTGTCAAAGCAATATTATTGTGCCTCTTGGTAAAATCCCTAGCAGTCAAGGCAGTGCATTTTCAAAATGTGTTATTAATGTTTTCATAGTTTCTACACAACACCTGAAGTCACTATGACCGAATCTTCCATAATTATATATTTGCAACCAAGTGACACATATGTAGACAGTATGTGTGATACATAGTTCACAGTCAATGTTGCATTACATCTTTTATTGGAAGGGAAGTAAAGAATGAAAGGAAGAAAATATCAGTAGACACCATTTTCACTTAACAAATAATGTAACTTGCTTTATCTGTAAAATATATTCAGGTTTTAGCCATGCTTTTTTGCCAAGCTCAAATGAATCCTCCCATGAAGGATCTTAATGCTTTAAATTATTACTAGTAAGGAAACCCACTTATAAAGTAAGTTTAAGTGAACAGATTTTAACATCTGGGATGCTCAGAAAACAAATATTATAAAAGTTTATTAGCCAGTGCATCACATGTAAACAAAATATAGGATAAAAATGCCTAACTTATGGTTGCTTAATATATTCTACTTTTTTAAAATTCGAGGGCAATTAAAGGAAATGTTAACAACACACAATAATCCTAGAATATAATTGAAAGAAATGATGGTATCTAAAAATGACAATCTGCCTTCTTAATTTAAGATCCTTCATTCTATAGCTTGCAGTTTGTGTCAAATGATAAATATCTGCTCATGTTTCTATATAAGTTTTCTTATTTCTTTGAGCAGATGATCTTGTGTCATAAAGCCTAACCCCTGTAACACGGTATTTTTATTTGATTTTTCTTAAAACCATGTAAGAATCAAGTAAAAGAAAAATCCCCGAATAGGACCTATTGAAGAAGGAAAAAAGGCAGTGAGAAAAAAAATTCTCCATGTAGAAGCAAAAGTGACCTTCTGTGGTGAGTTTCACTGTTTTTCAAGTGTGGCAAGAGTAATAAGTCTTGGCAGTTGGAACATGCTATTCACCTGAGGGCTGTCAATCATTCTCACTTTGAAAGACAGAATTTATGAATTGTCAACATACCTTTTATGTGAGAAACCAGCGCTCATCAGGAGAAAAACTAAAATAAACGCTCAAATATATTGAAAATCAGAATGTTGCCTGGTTACCTGATCTTAAGAACACCTTACACATCATCTCCAGTCTACATGTTATAACAATGGTTATATGTGTGGTATGCATGACAAACCACATGGTTATTACTGTGCTTTTCAAGCAGAATATAGTCTGGAGATCAATGGCTTGAGTCCCCCCCCCCCCGGATTCTATATAAAGTAAACTATTTGTCATCGAACAACTCCCATAAATACAACTCTAATACCAAAACTGCTGACAGCCTTGTAGGAGATTTCAGGAGTGGAGGCCAGGACTGAACACACGGAACTGCATTAGAGTTGGTCCCTGGAGAGCAGAATTGAACTTTATTGGCAAGAGTACTGTAAGAGTTCCATTTGACTCCTCATTAAACCTCTCATAGGGATTACAGCTCTTTCTCTGTGGCCACTACTGCTTCTCTTTCTATAGAAGAGATAGATGTGAACACACAGGCATTGGCACGTTTTCACATTGTTAGGAAAAGATTGACTTTCTTAACAAAAACGAAGCCTCTTACAGAAATTTAAAAAGATCTTCCAGTCTCTTGTTCATTAACGACTTCATTATTACTTCCAAAGGCAGTAGAGAGCTTTATTTCAATTTGTGCGGATTCATCTTTTAACACCTGCCTTAGAGTACAGAAGAGAGTCTTTTTTGTCCATTTATCTTTTCTCCAGGAAAAGGAACACCAGGGGTAAAATAGTTGGTGATAACGATCTCTGTCTTCTTTACCTAACAGTATGCTTGTGATAATGAAATCAGAGCATTTTGAAACAATTGGTGAAACACACGTGGCTATTTGCACTATATGTTGCCCGTGACTATTCTTGCTGATTTGGAGTCTTGAAAGTAGCATAGTAAGATTTACCATACATTGGAAGTATTGCACTGGAAAATTAGTCAAAAGTTAAAAAAAACAAGGGCATGCTCTGTGGATTGAAAACCCCACACTGCTGATGATCTAGCACTTACATTCTTTTGGGGAATCTCTCCTAGGAAGATTCCCAAGATTGTTACTGTTTTAAGTGCAATAAAAACAAATGAAACTTGTTTTTCAGCAACAGCTAAGTAAAATACTTTTCTCTGGAGAGAAAATCTTCTGTGGTTGTGAAATAATACTGTTGGTCTTCAGGACATTTAATCACTATGTTACTTAATGGAATATTAATAATGCTAATTACAAATACTTTAATGGGGAATGTTTTACCACTTACTTTTCACTGTTCTTGTTCTCCAGAAGTGTATGCATGTATGATGGCATTAAGGGAGAAGCACATTGTGTTACACGTGATGATTTAAAAACAGAAAGACAATATAGCAAGTACGATTATATAAAACTTTACATCACTCTGAAAGTTCTTTTGACATTTACCAGTAGAATTTCCTTCTACTGCCCTACATACATCAGCTAAGCCTGTATCTATGTCTCTACACACAAACTTACATGCATGTACACATTAACATAAATATCTTTATATCTACAAAAAACTGACACCATGGACACTTTAAAATCGAGCTCAGTTCAGAAGAGGAGTTGTTAGCAACTTGTGATTATGTTTTGCCACTGATCTAAACATATCTTTAGTTCTAGATGTTCAGTTACTTTAATGCCACTTTCAAGAGGGTGTGGTAATAAAATGTTGCTTTCAGGAGCTTCAAACTAAACGGTAAATATATCAAAACAAAGCCCCTCTAAGTATAGTTCCAAGGATAAAATTTTCAGAGAGCTTATGAGTCTGGCCCAGAGGGAGGGAGAAGCAGCTAATATTTTCCCAAGAGAAAGAAAGGTCCAGGCCAACAAAGAGAGGGTATAAAAGCACCAAAGTGAATACATAAGGGGGAAGAGCAAAACAACAAAAGATGCTTCTAAAGGAAGACACCAAAGAGAGTGTTTTCACATAAATTCAGACCATTATTCTATATTTCTGTTTATGAGCATTTAGTACACATACACATATAAATATATTCAATCAAACCTTTCTCAGACACACATATGCATACCAACCAAGAGATTTGTGTTTGGTCATTAGTTATCTAGCAAAAGGTCAAGCAAACATAGCCCTGGATCCTTTCTCATGCCACTATTCCCTAACTGTGGATCTGAGACAAACTCCTACATTCATAACCAAGGTCACCTTGCCTGTCTCTCGGTGCCCAAGCATGTCTCAAAGACAAATAGGAAGTTCCATTATGAGCAAGGCAGAGCAAGGGTCATTTACATGATAATAAGGAGTGATTTATATTTGAATAGAGTATTCTATAGTTCATTTTGACAGACATCTTTCAAAAACTACACATAAAAACCAAAGGCACATAAATAGTTTGAAAATACACAGCGTGGAAGTAGTTGCCTGAGCTTCTTAAAAGTCACAGATTAGTTACTCATGAATAATTCACACTCCTTAAAAAGTATACGAGTGAAGGGGGTCAAAGTTACAAATTTTCAGTTACAAACTAAATAAGTCATGGGAATGTAATGTACAGGATGGTGACTGTGGTTAATACTGCATATCTGAAAGGGGCTAGAAGAGTAGATCTTAGTTCTCATCACAAGAAAAAACATTTTAACTATGTGTAATGATGGATGTCAACTAGATTTGTTTCGGTGATCATTTCACAAAACACAAATACTGAATCACGTTATGCACCTGAAACTAATATAACTGATATACTGCTATATGACAATTGTATCTCAATAAAAAAAATAATTCAGGAAGGTCCTATTTATTCCCCTCGCTTTCTCCAAAGGTAATGTACATATAACTATATTATATAGCTATAGTATGTATCAAAACCAGGAAACTGATATTGGTACAGTTCACAGATCTCATTCAAATTTCACCAGTTTTACAGACGCTTGTATGTGTGTGCGCTGGCCCACAAGAACGCTTTTGTGATTCCATGCAGTTTTATCATCTAGGCAGATTTGAGTAACCACCACCACAACCAAGGTATGGAACTGTTTCATCACCACAAAGATTCCTAACATTACCACTTTTTAATTACGCACCTCACTTCCCACCCATTGCTGGTGAGAATAAAAACAGCACAACCGCTCTGGAAAGGCTCAACAGTTTCTTTAATAATTACACATTTTAAAAAGTGTATGTTTATAAACGTATGTAACGTACTGTGATCCCCCTCCTCCCTGACTTCTACATTCCACTGCAGGCATCCTGACAGATTCTGGTATCCAAAGACAGCCCTTGAAATGCATAAGAACTGATTTCAAATGGAAAGTGTATAGAGTGGTACTACTTCCTCCTGGGTAGGAGTAGGCTGGAGAGACTGGAATCCTCCCCACCAAACACATGTGCCTGCACCACGCGCTCCATCACTACAATCACAACCACCACTTCCCTCCGAGTGTTTCTGGACTTTTTACAACCGCAAGTGAGAGCAGATGTAGGGAGATTGAGAGGAGACTGGGATTCAGTCCCCAAGTTGCTCAAGGGAACCCCCCCCCCCCACAACTCCTGAGTCCCAGAGACTGTGGAAAGGGCTGGGGCGGAGCCTGGAGAGGGGCTCTCCAGCGGTAAGAGGCGGCAGCAAACCCTGGTGGGAGGGCTGGAGGCTGCTGTCACTTTAGGAGTCCGCAGCGCAGAGCGCGGGTACGGTGCTGCGGGAGCACCGCGGCGGGCCCGGCGCACGGCCCCGCGGACCCCGCATCTCGGCGGGCAGAGCCTCGCCCACCCCGATCCCCACCCTCTCCAGCCCGAGCTGTGGACGAACAGCAGCGCCTGGCACGTCTCTGGAGGACCCCGGGCTAAGAAGAGGAAGAGAGCAGGCGCCAGGGGGGCTGGAACGGCAGCATGCGCCCGCCGGGAGCAGCCTCGGCGCCCACGGTCTGAGGCTGCAGCCTCAGTTCGCCATTGTGAGCTGCGGCCCGGGGAGCTCGCACGCGCCTCGGTCCCCCCGGGGCCCCGTCCGCACCGCGATGGGGCACCTGCCCACGAGAACGCGCGGCGGCCGCCGCCTCCTGCCTCTGCTCTGGCTCTTTGTGCTGCTCAAGGTAGGGGAGCCCCCCCCCCCCGCTCGCGCCCCAGCGGTCCCGCCCGCGTCCGCGCTCTGCCGGGGGAGCGGCGCGCCCCGGGGCGCTAGGGCCCGGCCGCGGGGAGCGCCGGCTGTGCAGCCTGGGCGCAAGCTTTGTTGTCCTTGCATGTGCGTGCTCCGGGCGTTTTTGAGGGATGGGGTGGAAGAACGGGGAAGTTTGCTCCCTCCAGCTTCCCACCTTTGTGCTCTTTTACCACAGCTGGTATCCACATCAAAGGTGGGCTTGTTACATAGTGTTTCACTAGGCGGAATGAGGTCACTTTTCCTTCTGGTCACTACTGCACCCCAATGCTGCTTAACCTTACCTCTCTCTCCCCAGTGGTGTGTGTGTGCGGCTGCTTTGTCTTAATTTACTTTCTGCTGGAATTAGACACCTGGGGCTGAGCTCCCAGTTTGCAAAAAAAAAAAAAAAAAAAAAAAAAAGACTGCCAGGGTGGGTCGTGAGCATGGGTTTCTTTGAATAAAGAGCATGAGCTTGAACCTGGAGAGGACCCTTCTCCCCAAGTCTTCATCTTCAACCTGATAATTCCCTTTGCAAAGTCGTTAGACTTTCCCCCACCTTATCCACAAAGGCTGGTACCTCTAAATTCAAATGACAGAAAAATCTGTAAAATCAACTTTTTTTGAGTTCTCTTTGGATCATGGTGCTTTAGGCTGTTATTTTGAGAAAAGTGAAAGGGAAGGGAGCTGCTTTAAAAAAAATCCTTTTTGACAACGGTACGGCACATAAAATCTTTAAAATAAATTTCAGCTAGATGTTTGGTTGGAAAGTAGTGTGAAGTTGTGAGATCATTGTCTACCACTTGTGTCTTCAGTGTGTCTAGTTTTGTCATACTCCTTCCTCTCCTGGCAAAGTAGAGTGTCGACAGGTGCCTGGGAGCTATCCTTTCAGCACCACCGTGATAGCTACCTTAGAAATAGATGAAACACTAATGGATGCGAATGTTTCCTTACCAAAGGGTCGCTTTCTGCTTACATGCACCATTAATTATGAATGCTTGACAAGGAGATAGTGGAACGGGACCAATGGGTTGAGAACAAGATCAATTTTAAATATTCCATATTTTTATTTATCTTAATGGAAAACAGGAAAATGGTTGCAAGGAACAAGAGCAACTGAATGCATAAATAAAATTCTATATTACACTTAATATGTTTTTACATTTTTTTCTTAAGTTGTAAATAATAATTTTATTTAAAATCTGGTAAATAATAAGCTTGGCCCTGTGTTTTTATTATAGGAGATTGCTCTTTTATTTTTTTAAGATTTTTTGAAGATTTTATTTATTTATTCATGAGAGACACACAGAGAGAGAGGCAGAGACACAGGCAGAGGGAGAAGCAGGTTCCATGCAGGGAGCCTGACGTGGGACTCGATCCCCGGTCTCCAGGATCACGCCCTGGGCTGAAGGCGGAGCTAAACCTCTGATTCACTCGGGTTGCCCGAGATTGCTCTTTTAGCACACACCACAATTATATTACTTATTGAAGCTTTCTATTAATTTTTTTATTTGTTAAATTCTGTCATAACTATTATGTCTATGCAATACTTGTCATGAATCCAAAGTGGGGAACTGCATCACCACACATTTTTCTAAGTAGCAGTTCAGACTTAACATGCATAATATCTGATCCAAACCCAACCTCTAGCACAAACGCAGGTTTTTATTTCAATTCTTAATAATGAAAGACAAATTCAGAAATGGTCAAATTATGAATTTGACAGTGGAGATAGAGTGCTGCAATTAAAATGCAATAACTGTGGCAAAACTTCTAACCAAAACTGGATATAAATGTGAGAAATTGCAATCTGTATTGGCAAAATGGTATTTTCAAGACTGTAATAAAGATTCACCCTGTTCCACCACAATAGGTGTATTTTTGCACATTTTCAGATTGGTGTCAATTATGGTTAACTGCATCACATAGTAAATACATTGACAAAGCTTGCCATTTAAATAAATATTGTAATGGACAACTAATTTTGTAGAGCAAGTCTTTACCCTTTATTTTATGTAAATGCAGTGTTTGTGTCACCAGGATATAAACTATATTACAAAATTGAACACCAATAAAAATTAATTTATTAAAAAAATAAAAAATAAAAATAAAATAAAATAAAAGTAAAAAAATCCACAAAGAGATTATTAAAAAAAACTATATCACAGGAAAAAATTATATGTATATATACTTAATATCCATGTGCCAGTCTTCCAGGTATTTCACATATGCTATTTCATTAATTTTATTTTGTTACCATTGACAAGGGATGTTCGAAGTGTCACATTAAGCACAAGGGATAATGCATTTACATTTAGAAATAGTATATTACATAATAAATTGGGTACATTGTATAATCTCTTTATAATTTGGAAATACGTTTGCATTCAATGTATTGAATAGGTATCAGTAAAGTAGACCTAAGAACAATTCCATTATTAAATAGCACATTGTTGATTGGTTCTCAGTGATAAGATCTCTGCGCTGAGTCAGAAACAAACCATTTATCCAACCTCCCCAAAATCTCTGTTGCTCTCATTATGTCAACAAAACTTTCACTGCTCCATATGAAATATCTCCCATATAAAAATGAAAATTCCTAAGGGCCATACAGTTAGATAAACCAACATGGGAGGCTTGATTTGTAGTTTTATCTTTTCCACAAATCAGGAGCAAGCAGCTGGGTAAAAGTGATAGGAAAGTCTGAAAAACTGAATCTGTGTAATTGGCTATAATCAATTGCATTGAGATAGCCTAAATGTGCCTGGCCATGGAAGTCTTTATGTATCATTCCCTATGCATAGCTAAGTGATAGCAACATTGGATCAAGCATCTCAGATTGTCTAAATCATCCACTGTATGTTTTGAGGCTTATATCTTCACAATTGATGCTGCATAAGCACAATGTTGATTATGAAATTTTAAAATTTCATATCAATATTGATGGCATATATAAAAAGATAAAACAAAAGTAGAACTCTATTATCAAGTAGACTGGGAGCCTACTAATCTGAAAGTCTTCTACTCACATATGAATGTGAATGAAGTAATTATCTGATGAGCCTCCCTCTTGTGCATCTTTCCATCCTTCCCAATGAAAACATGTATTTCTCTCACCTGGCCTATCTTTAATAAACCGCTTCCTGAAAATCGCTTCTTGTCTCAGTTCACTTGATATCAGTATTTTGTCAACTAAGATGCAAATTGTAGAATATGACATCATAGGAATTTAAATTCTGCCTTCCCTGAAATGGTGCTCATTAGTAGTCAAGTGGAATGTTTCACTAAACTCATAGGCTTGGCATGAATCCTTCTTTCTTTCCTTAACCTCCCCTCTATATTTTCTTCTGGGTCTGCTCTTACCTGATATGTAATGAAAGAACATTAAATTTGAAAGAGGCCTTAATTATATTATCTGAAAAGAAGTTTGTGTTTAATTTTATAAAGCATGAGTGTTATGATGTTGGCCATAGTACTCCTATTTAGGAGAAATATCCACTCTCCAAGGTCTGTATGCCTTTCTCCACTTCCCTGTCTCTCTCTCTGTCTTTCCCTCTCTCCTTCTCTCTCACCTCCTCTCTTTCACACTTGTGTGTGCACATGCACACCAGCACACACAGAAGTTTCACTTCTTTGTGGAGGTTTCATTCACAGTCTATATTATACAATATTGGCCAATGAACCATAACCTTTTCATCTTTCTGAAGCAGCCTAAACCACTCCCTTCGCAAGTTTGCTGTCATTAACTCCTCTGTCAACTGAATCCTTTGATAAATGTTGTTTCAATCTTTAATTTTTATCTTATTTTATTTTCTTTTGTTGCCAACCTTTTAGAGAAACCCTTTCACATATGATATCCCCAGCAAGCTGAAGAAGGTTCACTGGGCTGGGCTCCTACTGGGGATTGGCTAATAGGCCTTCCCTCTATACTCATGTTTACTTTTATTCTTTGTTGTGTGAGAGATTGTTTTTATATCAAAGAATAAAAAATTCACACCATACTTCTGCCTCATTTTGGTCCACAAGAAAATACACATCTATATGCATAAGTAATTTAAAATGACATCAGGGTGGTACTTTATTTTTAAATGTAGCACTATTTCTAGCATCTAAATAACCAACCTAAAGGTGTTTTAACTTATAAGCACATTGACTCCTGAGCTTTATGAATATACTTCCAGCTTGAGTCTTGGGATTTTGCAAAGGACCTTTGGTGTTGGTTACAGTTTGTGTACTTATTCAAACCATTGTGATTGCTAGCAGTGTAGTTCAGTAGAAGGTTTAACAGGGATGACCACAAATATTTATTTCTAATTTTCTTCTTAATACCTTCTGGTACACAGTTCCAGTGCTGTTGCATTTCCAGAAGCATAGCCCCTACTGCAATGATGAGCTTTAGTAAAAAGCACCTGGCATGCTCATTTTATTACTCCAAATAAATGTATTTTTAAAATAAAGGAAAATATAATTTTTGTCTTCCACAGTGCATAGTATGTTAAATTAGGCAAATAATAGAAGCTTCATAAACAATTAAAATTTGCAGCATTATATAGTTTCTGACTGAGACGTGTTAAATACTTTAATATTGACTTGTGAACACCTTTTTAAGGAAAGCATTATAAAATTATCATTATGTGAATTAAATCATAATTACAATGCAGTCATTACACTTAAAAATAACAAAGTGCTACCAATTCCTTATATAAAGAACTTATTAAAATCATAAATCAAAATACCAGTGTGTTATTTTTCTTCCAAAAATGTAGCACTCTTGGTTGCTCGTTTATTCACCAGTGTTACCTCAGCCGCTATATCGTCAATGAAAAAACAGAGTTGAAATAATAGGGGAATTGCTTTCATTACCTCTATATGTGACCTGCAACTTCACCCAATGCCCAGCTATGCAGATCATGTTCTTGCTTCCTCTTCCATATCATCATTCTTCTGTGACCACCACAA